ACCATTCGACTCAGCACCCCGAAGACTACAACTGGTGAAATTTTAATTTTTGCCTTAACTTCCCCTTTAAGCGCAACCCTCTTTGAGCCCAGGGCAAACCTCTTTGAGACCAGGGCAAACCTCTTTTGTAGGGGAAACCTCTTTGGACCCAGGACAAGCCTCTTTTGGAGGGTAAACCTCTTCTGGCTCATGGCGAACCTCTTTGGACACAGGGCAAACGTCTTTAGACACAGGGCAAACGTCTTTAGACATAGGGCAAACCTCTTTAGGGCCAGTTTTGACCGGTACGCTGAAGTCTTCAGAGCCAGGGTAAACTGGGCCCAGTTTGGACCCAGCATAATCTGGGATCTTTGGACCCAACGTAATCTGGGGTCTTTGGACCCAACGTAATCTGGGGTCTTTGGACCCAGTATAGAGATGCTAGACCATGATCGTTTGCAATCTAGCTACAGTCATGAGTAGTTCTCTTTCGTGTTCAGGATGGAGTTGGTCACTTTCTGTCTCTGATGCTCTTGATTCATCTTTGTATGAGTGTGGAAATTCAATTTCTGCATGTGTTTGTGCGTGTGTTTGTGTGTGTGTGTGTGTGTGTGTGTGTGTGTGTGTGTGTGTGTGTGTGTGTGTGTGTGTGTGCATGTGTGTCCGTGCCTGTGTCTGTTCGTTTGTGTCCGTGCCCATTTCTACTCGTTCGTGTGTGTCTCACAGTCTTCGACCAGTGCCCCTCTCAGCCGTCGTCGTCGCATGATCCCCTGCGGTCAGGACCTGTACTGTGAGCCCCTGGACCTGTCTGACGTCTCCACCAACCCGTTCATGCCCTGCATCACCGGAACTGGACCCACTGCACCCAGCGGGACGTTTACGCAGTGTAAGAGAGACGTGTTTTATTGGTCTCATCCAGAATAGGATTGTTCAGAACAGATGCGTTTCGCCGAGCCGAATGTAGCCACAAAGTAAGAGACATGTTTCATTGGTCTCATCCAGAATAGGATTGTTCAGAACATGGCCGTGTGGGGTGCTGAGCGGTGGTGCAGTCCTGACCCCAGCGAACTTACACGCAAATACTCATGCACTCCACATTTGGCAATGCGCAGTGGGCTTACAACATGTAGTGCTGGTGTGGTCGTTGGGGAGTTCAAACACATGTGCTCTAGGTACGTGCGCGCAAGGAGGACCCTCCTGCTGGTGTTGCATGACCTGGACCTCCTGCCTCACCGTGGCCAGTTGCCTTCCTGTGTTGCGTTTCCCTGTGCAGCGGACCCGGCTGATGGCGACTACACATTCCAGTTGAGGGCTAACGTCAACATCACTCACTCGGGAACAGGCAACTCCTTCAGCGGCTACAGCAACTCGAGCCTGGTTTACACAATCGGTAGGTCGCAGGCGGTGGTGTTGCTGCTGCTGCTGCTGCTGCTACTCGTACTGTGATGTGGTTGTCATGGTAATGTTGATATTGTTGCAAAAGAAGGATCCACAGGCGGGATTCAAACCCAGCATCCCTGTCTTTCCGGGGCAGTGCCCTGCCAATTAGGCTACCGGGGATCACACACACCCATAGGTCCTTCTTGCTACAGTATGATGTGGTTGTCATGGTGTGGTTGCTATGGTGCTGTTGCTATGGTACCGTTGCAATGGCGATATTTCACATACCACCATCAGCGGAGGAAGTGAACTGAAAGTTCACCCGGCTGATCCTTTACAAATGCAAACCGTGCGTGTGTTGTTCTCCCTGCTCTCACGCAGACACCACCAAACCGACGACGACCATCATGAAGAGCGACATACCGCTGCAGAACAACTATACGTGTCCCGACATCAAGTTCACGGCCGACGACCTGGTGCAGTTCTGGTGCAAGCTGGAGTACCAAGGCGGTAGGTGACGATGATGATCAAGGCTTGGCTGTGTGAACTACAGTACTTAATGAAATCCAGTTGCATCACTCAAGTCTGCGCCTTGCACCATTTAGCAGCCCAGTGTTCGCAGGTCTGGGGCTGCGCAACGCCCGGCGCGCTCTTGAGTGACGCGACTGGATTTACGTGAGCTGCACTGTAATTCTTGAATGTACATGTACAGCTGTGTTCCGTGAAATCCCACAAAAGTGCATATTAGGCGCCCTCTCGTACTTTCAGGGCGTAAAAACCCTGTTGTAGAGGTCTCAGTCCTCATTTGTTAGACTTTAATACCTGTCTTTACACAAAAGAGATTGGATGCTGTGTCGCAACTCTAAATTTCACGTGTTACTACGATCATCAGGCAACTGATGCAACCTGTCTTTATAAATGTAACTTACTTTCTCCCCCCCCCCCTCCCCCCCCCCCCCCTCTCTCTCTCTCTCTCCCTCTCTCCCCCCCCCCCCCCAATTGCTTGAATGCCGTCACTCACGTGTTTGTTCCTCTAACACACTTACTGTTTCCCATGCTGTCTAACCTACCTGCGCTCGGTCACCTCTCACACTGTGCTGCAGAAATGCGCAACTTCACGCGCTGCACGTCACCATTCAACCCCTGCAAGCAGCCGACCTGGTATGGCTATGATGAGCTAAGGAGAAACGGCCTCTACACATTCAGCGTATCTGCTGTAGATCGTGCTCTCAACCGCGAGGAGTTTGCCAAGAAGATCACCTACGAGTTCGGTGAGTTTGTCGTGTGTGTGTGTGTGTGTGTGTGTGTGTGTGTGTGTGTGTGTGTGTGTGTGTTTGTGTGTGTGTGGTCTGCGTGGAAAGCATGGGGCGTGCGTGCATGTGCTTGTACGGCTGTGTGTGGCCGTTTGTTTGTGTGAATGGGGAGGGGGGCATACACATATGCCTCTGTACTGCTGGTCCTAACTTGGAAGAATTCATGTTTCACTTGACGGTATCAGAGGCGTGACCATGTATTTGACTATGGTCACGCGTGGGGAAAAGACGTTGAATTCAAGTCGACGTTTTCGCCACAACAAGCGTGAACCCCCACAAGGGGTGCAGTACGAATAGTTTTTTCCCTTCATGTAGGAATGCACAAGCCACTGTGGAATGGAACCTGTTTTCCTGGGAAACTTTGGAAGTGGGCACACCTCGAAAAACATTTTTTTTATCTTTGGCACAATGTGCCGTTTTGGATGTGACAGAGAGATTGCTTCCGTTTTGTAAGCACGTTCCACTGTAGCGCGCGTCCGTTCTTGTTTTGATTGCTGCTTCGATTCTCTCGTACCCGTGTGTGTGTGTGTGTGTGTGCTTAGATACGTACCGTCCTCTCGTGGGACTGGTTGATTTCCCGCCACGCGTCAACACTCTCACCTCGCAGGCCTTCGAGGTCATCACCAACGATACAGAGGTACGGTGGTAGCCATGAAGTGTGTCGGGACGTTCCCCTGCCAACCTTGGCTTAGGTGGCCCGTACAATACGTGCAATGCCTCGTGATTGCGTTCATATTGTCTTTCTGCCAAGTGTCTCTTTTTGACATCCTATGCATCAGTTCTGTCTATGCCGGTGGAAAATTTTAATTGTTTTAATTATGTTCACGAAGGACACAATCCCCGTGATCAGACAGAGAGAGGAAAAAAGCACTAAAAATCACCTAGTCTCAATACTATTGTCTTTCTTTATTAGCAATAGTGCAGGTTTGGTGTAGTGGGCTCCCCCGACCACTGGGGTCCTGGGTTCCTGTTGTGTTTTTTCCGGCGTCCGCTTAGGGTATCTTGTGCCAGGTTGTTTCCAGTGGGCCTGTCCGTCTGTCTGCCTCTCTGCACTCCTTGTTAATACGTCTCTTCGCGTCTGACTCTGTGTCCGTCTGCCTCCCATTGTGTGTGTGTGTGTGTGTGTGTGTGTGTGTGTGTGTGTGTGTGTGTGTGTGTGTCTGTGTGTGTATGTGTGTCTGTGGGTGTATGTGTGTCTGTGGGTGTATGTGTATGTGTCTGTGTGTGGGTGGGTGTGGCAACAGGCGACCGTGTCTTGCCAACTGAACGGAGTAGCAATTGCCTGCAGTGTGGGCAGATTCTCCGTTGTGGCTGTGGAGGGAGAGAACCACCTGACGGTAAGACACAAGTGCTGCTTGTGTGCGCACGTGTGTCTGTGCGTGTGTGTGTGTGCGTGTGTGTGTGTGTGGTGCCTGCACCACTCAACACACACGCAACGCATTCGTCGCTCGTGCAGTGCACTCGCATGGCGCACAGTGCTCTCTCATGCCATGCACTCGGGTGAAGCACTCGTGTGCTGCACTCGTGTACTGCACTCGTGTACTGCACTCGTGTACTGCACTCGTGTACTGCACTCGTGTACTGCACTCGTGTACTGCACTCGTGTACTGCACTCGTGTACTGCACTCGTGGACTTTACTCATGTACTGCACTCGTGTACTGCACCTAGCATAGCTACACGTGCATGCACGATACAGTAGTATATAGTGTACAGTGCACTGTGCTGCTAACCCGGTGTACGTAGTAGGGTTTGTTGATGTGAAAACCCACTCTGATTTCACGTGTCCAAAATAACACCATGGCCAAGCCCAAATTGACGCCGTTGTTTTGGACCTTCAGTAATGTTTCCGCCCAGGGCCTTGTTGCGGGCTTTTACGGAATAAGAGCAGACCTGGTTTAGAATCATGGCACTGTTCTCCAGTCTCTGGAGGTTACAAGATAATCTTGCAGACAGGTGGGAGTGCTCAATTGACGAGCTGCCCAGGCCTCACCACCACCACCACTGCCATTTCTGTGCTGCGTTCTTTAAACATGCGCATTGTGTGTTGATGTATTTGTGTGGACATGTTCATGAATGCAGATGACAGCTCAGGACAAGGCTGGCAATGTGGCACCGTACGTCGATTACCTCTTCTTTGTCGGTAAGTACTGGTTGAACGTGTACACCAACACAAAAGTCCGTCTGCCTGACGCTCAAGGGAGCATTGACACCTATTTTGGCCAGTTATCCATACGCCTCACAACACTCTTATAGGCGATTCAGACGACGGCCAACTGTGACCACGTTTCTACGACTCAGACGTGTTTGATCAGGGATTGCGTACAATTTTGAAATTAAGACTGCGACACCACGTAAATTCAAGTTTACACGTGATTTTGGCTGTAATCTGAATCGCCTATTACCGCTCTCTGCATCAATTATTTTTTAATATCCTAATTTTCAGGCCAGGCCCATCTTAAGCACCAAGAGTACAGAACGTTGCAGGCAGTGCACATGTGTACTGCATGCGTACTCACGACGGCTGCATGGCCAGCGCTCTGGGGCCGCCGCTTGACTTCCGACCGGATTTCCATGTCCACAACATGTACAGCAGTACATGTATAGTGAAAATGACCTCTCCACTACACACAAGTCAGGTCTGAAAGTTAGCTCATGACCGGAGGTCAATACCCGTCAAACTACAGTGCTGCTGGCAACTGAAATCCGACCGACCCCTGGCCTGAGCGGTGCGCTCACATCGCAAAGACCCAACACAGGATTGTAAAACTACGAAATAGTGACCGCTAGAATGTGAACGCACAGCTTAGGGGTCGGATTTCAGTTGCCAGCACTGTAGTACGCGTGTGACCACTAATTTGAAAGTACAGTTGTGATCACTGAAATCCGACCCAATGTGCAAAACTGGCACCCTCAACTTACACAGCCCTTGACGCCCTGGCAGTGAATGCGGAATGCGGCTGAATGAATGCGGAATGAATGCGGCTGGACGTACACATGTACGTCCACAATGATGTAATCGGAACTGGTCCAGGGCGCCAGCTTTGCACTTCGGGTCGGATTTCAGTGAGCGCAACTGTAAGTACAATCAGACCTCGCTTATCTGGAGTTCCTCGCCATCCGGAAGAACATAGCTGGTTATGAATTTACAGCATACGTGATGCATCCAATATAACCGGTGTTCGATTATCCGGTTCCCTCGCCCATCCGGATATTTTAGTGGAAAACGGAAGTGTGCGGTTAAGCGAGGTCTGATTGTACATGCTTTTAATACGGTTACGTTTGCGGCGGGACCTCTGACAAGATGGTGATTGCAACGGCTGCTTTCTCATTTCTTTGCATTGTCGTCTTCCTCGTTACTATCGTCCTAGATTCCAAGGCACCTGAGGTTGAGCTGGCAGATTTGAATGACAACGTCTTCACCGACCGCAAGAACACTCTGCTGCATATCCAGTCCAACGAACAACTTGCCGATATGCGATGCAGGTATGTTTACGCGTGTGTGTATTTTTGTGTGTTGGGGGGGGGGCATGTGTGCATGTGCGTGTGTGCATGTGTGTGCATGTGTGTGTGCAGCTGTTGCACTTGTTTTTGGTGATAAAGTGACAAGGTGGCATTCTTCAGTCTTCATGCACGCTGGTGTGTAGATTGTGAGTATCGTTGCTTCCAAGTTCAACACAGTGTACATCCTAGTGCTTCTTTCTGTCTCTGTGTGTTTGTGTGTCTCAGAGTCGTTGCTTGGCCAAACTCTGCCAACGCTACAGAGAAGCTCAGCGAGTGCTGTGACCAGGCGTTCTCCTCGGCGGTAAGCTGGGCTACTGTAACGCGTGAAATTTTTGCGGCGTTTTTAGTGCGCGTTTTCAGAATCCGGACAGGTTTGCGAGGTTTTAATTTTGCGATTGCAAAATGGCATTCTTGCTAAACCTTTCATGGATCTCCTTTTCGCGCTGTCTAAATTTCGCGATTTCCACGCGGTCGCGAATTTCGCAGAAATTAGACCATGGCAATAATTTCACGGTTTACAGTATTCGGGTTTAGTCATCTACCTGTCTGTACATGTCTGTACATGTCTGTACATGTCTGTACCTGGTCATCACACACTGCTGCTGTACTATCCCGCCTGTCGTGTCACATGACACTGCTGACAACAGGCCATAACGGAATAAGCACAAGAGTGTGTGACTCTGATCTCCGAGTTATTGGTGCCCCCCCCCCCCTTCTGTCACATGACACTACAGACAAGATACTATAACCCCAAGCAAGAGTGTACGACTCTGATCCCTGAGTTATTGGTGTTCTTCGTGGCGCACTGCCTTCATTATTCATTATAATAGTGAAAGTGTGTGTGAAATGACAATCAAGCTGCCGGGTTAAGAGTTTTCCTATAGTTTAGCCGCAGCGGTTTCGGTTGCATTGAATCTTTCCTGGAAATCCCCGACAATGTCCGTTCGGTATGAAGCTGTACTCGGAGGAATACATTACTTTTTGTTCTGTCTTTGTGTGTGTGTGTGTGTGTGTGTGTGTGTGTGTGTGTGTGTGTGTGTGTGTGTGTGTGTGCGTGGGTGCGTGTGTGTGTGTCCCTCTCCCTCCCTTGTGCTCTACGTTGCTTTGCTTTGCTCTCTCTCTCTCTCTCTCTCTCTCTCACTCACTCTCTCTCTCTCTCTCTCTCTCTCTCTCTCTCTCTCTCACACACACACACACACACACACGCACACTCAATCTCGCTCTCACTCTCGCTCGCTCTCTCTCTCTCTCTCCCTAACTATCTCTCTTTCTCAATCCACCCACCCCACTTGCCAATGGCCGGTGCAGTCTGCTAAGGAAGAGAATTGCTTGGCTGCGTGCAAGGACTTCAGCGCCACGTCGGAAACCAACTTGGACCGTGAGGTGTGCCGACATTTCCTTCGCGACTACTCCAAGTGCTTGGAGAACAAGACAATGGCTTTCAAGAACAGTAAGGAAGAGCAGGCTTTTTAAACAATTCGTGTGGTGTGTGCTTCCCTAGCTGCAGCTCGTTTTTGCCTTTGTTATAATGGTCTTTGTAAAAATAAAATGCCACGCACCAACAAGTTTGTTGGACAATGAACCACTCTTGCCATGTCATGTGATCCTCCAGTCTGTGTCATGTGATCCTCCAGTCTGTGTCATGTGATCCTCCAGTCTGTGTCATGTGATCCTCCAGTCTGTGTCATGTCATCACTTTTTAAACTCCATGCCATTCGGTAGCTCACATTCCGTGCCATGCTCTGTGTGTGTGTGTGTGTGTGTGTGTGTGTGTGTGTGTGTGTGTGTGTGTGTGTGTGTGTGTGTGTGCCGTGTGTGATCGTGTACAGATGGTGTGGCTGGCCTCAACCGGTTACCCTGCGGCCTCGACTCTGACTATCCGACGTCTCCATCCTGTCGTAACGGAACATTCCCGATTGGAACACGTGCACGTCAACTTGGCTTCTATCTTTTCCAGGTAGGTTGTTTGTTGTTTTGTTTGTGCGTTCCGTCAGTATAGAAAAGATATTAACTTTTTGCTTATGTTCTATTCCTGCCTAACGCTCTTCATCGAGTGCTGTGTTTTCCGTGCGTGTGTATGGGTGTGGGTGTGTGTGTGTGTGTGTGTGTGTGTGTGTGTGTGTGTGTGTGTGTGTGTGTGTATGTGTGTGTGTGTATGTGGTGTGTGGTGGATACCAGGCTAAAAATAGTGGCGGTCAATTCGTCAGCCTTGCAAGCTGTTGAATGGTGTAATCCCAGCACAAGTTGCTATGTCTAACATAGCTGTTCGCTATCATCACTTCCGCGATGGGCATGTCTAAGGTCTAAGGTGTGTGTGTATGTATGTGTCTATGTGTTTGTCCGTGTGTGTGTGTGTATATTTGTACAGGTGAAGACGAGAGACTTGAACGACAACGCCCAGTGCTACCAGGCCGCCTTTGTCTACGGTACGGTATGGCGTCGATGCATGATTGGTGTATGACTGGCATGGTGTACTGCTGTGGAAGACACTTCCCTCATCATGTTCATGTTAGAGGCTGGTGACACTTGTGTGTGTGTGTGTGTGTGTGTGTGTGTGTGTGTGTGTGTGTGTGCGTGCGTGCGTGTGTGTGTGTGTGCGTGCGTGCGTGCGTGCGTGTGTGTGTGCGTGTGCATGCGCGTGTGCGTATGCGTGTGGTTGAGATGGCTCAGGCAGTTCCCTGTGCAAATATCTACCAGTATGCTGCGCACAAAGATCCTGTGTGGTCTGCGTAGAATTTACAACTCTCTAATGTACATGTACAACATGGAAATTGTGGGCACAAATTATGCGCTAGAGTCCACCAACTAAACCAGATTTTGAACAGTCAGACGTGCACAATCTAGCACAAAACTGACAAGGATTACTGGAGCACAATTTCCATGTTACTTTCAAGTACACATTTTTTCCTTGGCTCACCATCTGAGTTCTCTGATGCACAAAACATTGCTAATGTCGCTGTCGCTTTTCCCTTGCACAGAGGACGCCAGCCGCTACAAGACAGCCGAGCAGGATGCCAATGATGTGGTGACGGACCAGACATGCCCCGGCGATGGCCTGACCTACATTATATTCTTGGCAATCGGCGGCGGTGCCCTTGTCATCGCTCTGGTCGTCTGCTTCACGTACTACTGCTGCTGCGTGGACAGAGGCAACCCCTACAGGTAGGTACTAATTTGCTTGTTAAATTTGTACTCCATTGACTGCTGCGGAGTACTGCCTCCAGGACACTAAGGACCAGCGAAAATGGGTGATTTTTACTGAAAACACACCGCACTTAAAAGACCATACCTCTGACGTCCATTCTCCCGTTGGTGCCTGACGGAGCATGTGCTTCGGTCCATGTGCATGATCGCTTCGATCCAGTCTTGATTTTTTCAAATGCAACCTCACTACTTGTACCTTCTCTATAGCTATCAATAGGCCAGGTAGCTAAGGTGTCCGTGAACACAATCAGGCATCTGAGATGCAGATGTATGAGACTGGCTCTGCAATCTGCTTTAGCATGCACTGTCAGCATAGGTCGAAAGCGATCCACCGCCAGCACCAAATGGTAGAATAACCCGAGTGTTTGCATGGCAGCATACCTGCCACACGAACACTTGCTCGCAGTGTAGTGGGAGCAAACTGGCTACAGTCGAGTCGCGCATCCAAGAACCTTGTTAGCCTGGGACGTTCTTATTTTTCAGCAATCTGCCTGCATTCTTATAGCACGTTCTTAGAAACAATTCATACTGAATCATATGTACCCAAAAGCTGCCGGAAAACCAACACCGCCGTTCTTAACTTTAGGCTGTGGCGTTCTTACTTCTTAGCATTTCAGGCTGGACGTTCTTGGGCTCATCGTTCTTCGGCGCGCGACTCTTCAGTAGTTCGCACAGACAAGCTGTTGATGTGCATGGGTGTACGTGTGTGTCTGTCTGTGTGCATATGTGTGTGTGTGTGTGTGTGTGTGTGTGTGTGTGTGTGTGTGTGTGTGTCTGTACATGTATTTGCGTTTGTGCACTGAACAGACGACCGATGAGTGTTGGACCAGCCACAGCCAATATGGCATACAACCAAAGCCCCAGTGCTGGAGCTGGTCAAGGTTTGGAGGTCGACAATCAAAACATGTTTGATGACTCACGCTATGGCGGGGTAAGTCATTGCATACCTTGTGTGTGTGTGTGTGCGTGTGTGTGTGTGTGTGTGTGTGTGTGTGTGTGTGTGTGTGTGTGTGTGTGTGTGTGCACATGCATGTGTGACATTGACTGTGCATGCACACATATCTATGTGTATCTGTGGAAGTGTGAGCGGTTATGGATAGCAATAATTAATTAATTTAAATATTAAATGAAGACAGCACGGTATGCACTGACCCACAAACACTGTGGCCTACTCTTGGCTAGGAACTCTACCTGGGCATTATTCCTGTGTGGTAATTTACTGCACGAAAGGACTGACCGTTCTCCTCCCGTTTCTATTTGTCTCTCTGGCTTTCTTGCGGTTTCATCTATTGTTTGTGTGTGTGTGTGTATGTATGTGTATGTACATGCACGCGTATGGACGGCATGTCCTTCTGCACACCCTGTGCGTATGTCTCTCGCGTGTATGTCCACGTGCAGGTACAGGCAGGCGGCACCGGCGACAAGGCCGGATTGATCGGCTCCATGGAAGAAGGTCAAGAGGAGGACCTACCGGGAGGTGACTACGAAGCCCTGCAGATCAACTAACCATCACCATTCGACAACAGCAGCTGTGTGCATCACGTGATCAATCAAATCAAATCACATCACGCGATCAATCAAATCAAATCACATCATATCACGTGATCAATCAAATCACATCACATCATATCACGTGACAACTAGAAACTTCCACAATGTGCTGCCACGCTGCTGATCGAATTCACTCATTTCAACAATGACTTCGTTTCCCCATTTTCACCTTTTTATTCAGCCAAAATCATTTTCAAATTATTTTTCGTTTCGAAACAACATTTTTCAATTTCAAACCTTGCTTGGCTATACCTCGACTTATCACTTCATCCTGCAGCGCAGGTGTACGAGGTCCTTTCTTTCCATGAAAAAAAAAAACCCTAATCCCTTAGTGCGTGTGTGTGTGAGTATGTGCGTGCTCTTCCCTTCATGATATCAGTCACAACATTAAAAAATATGTTTTCAAGTTCTGCTAGCCCGTTTTCTGTTCGGCGTCGCATGTCCCCCCCCCCCCCCCCCCTCTCCAAGCATCCTTCATGCTACTCAACACTGACAACACACCCTTAACTGGCAACTTCCGTATTGCCACTTACTCTTCCACACACCGGCCATCCATACTCGGCTCTTTTCGTCTGCTCATTGTTTTCCTTCTCTTTCACTTTATCACGAAAAACTCTAGACCCTTTTCTAGGAATAACCCTTGCCCAGCTGTGTGTGTGTGTGTGTGTGTGTGCGTGCGCGCGCGCCCGTGTGTGAAGAGAGAGAGAGCGAGAGAGAGAGAGAGGGGGGGCCATGCCTACTGAAGGCTGGGCCGCAGTCCCCGCCATCGGTTGCATGCCTTATTGGGCATCAACTGTGTTGGTGCGAATCTCACCGCGTTCAGGTACAAGGTAAGCTGCCTGTTTTAGCGCCGGCAGTGTTCACATGAATTTTCTAGTGCGGATTTTAGCACGCTCAAGGTTAGTGCTAACTTTCCTACCCTAGTGTTCGTCGTAGTGACAGTCAGGAATGTGCTGAAATTTCAACACCGAAAACGTATTTCAGCGCCAAACTAAACGCGCCGACCATGTCGGCGCAAAACAATATACTAGTAGCGAAAAGTTCCATGTTGGCCAATTCACGCAGGCAGCTAGAACTTTAGTACCATGGATGTCACCCACTGTCACAACTATTTGCAGCGCTGACTCGAAAGCAAAGGGGTATTCACAGCGCTGACTCCAACGCAGGGTATTTACTGTGCTAAATATAGCGCTGACTGACACTCGAAGGCAAGCTAGTATCTCGGATGGGTAACAAACCGACTAGCACCATGGATACAGCAGAGCTATTTCTGCACACTGTGCATCTACACCTCATTTGGCTTATGCGAAGGCTAGCCAAGCTTGCTTGGTGATGTCAACGTGAACAAGCATAATGATAACAATAACATGGAAGCGCAGCAGCTCTAACATTTGCGACCTACAGGAGTTGAAGGCGCAGCGCTGAACAATAACATCATACATAATTACACGTGTGCGCGCGCACGCACACACACACACACATCACCACCACATATGTACAGTTGCTAGTACATGCACACAATTGCTCCACAACAGACAGCAACCAGTAATATCCGCACTAGACATATCCACACTTTGGCCCTCACCACTACAAGCGACACTGGTCATTTGATATGCACTTTTCTAATAATAATTCATACGTCGTAAGCCAGCGTTTGAAATATACAAACAACACGAGGTATAGAATCTGTCTGGATTCGCAGCCAACAAGCAACACATGGCAAACAATAAGAAAGAATAGAAGTTGCCGCAGAAAGGCGAGAAGAGCAGCCATTGGAATGTACAACAACAAAATAATAATCGAGTGAAACGGTACCAGCCCGCTTCGAAACTCAACAAAACAAATTCGTCAAATAATTTTACAGTCCCGCTGCGGGGTCGTGACGGGGCCTAGTGACAGCAGAGGTAGACAGAGATGGAGACGGAGAACCAGCCGACGGGAGACGGATAGAGAGATAGAGAACGTAATACAGTCCACTCCACTTACAACGAACTCGCATAATTATAGCATATACTGTGATATAGCGAACCGTTGTCCATGTCCCAGTTTGAACCCACAGTGCGTGTGTGCATTTCTGTTTTAACGAACTAATTCTCCTGCACAATGGTGTCCGTTATATCAGGAGTCGACTGTAGCAAGTCAGAGACACAGAGCTACTCACGCCGTGAAGCGCTCTTCAGTTGTTGGCATATGACGGCGTATCGACGTGATTGACGGCTGGAAGTGATCGATAGCGTCGGTATGGCCGGTAGAGAATGTAGTGTAGCAAGTCAGAGACACAGAGCTACTCACGCCGTGAAGCGCTCTTCAGTTGTTGGCATATGACGGCGTATCGACGTGATTGACGGCTGGAAGTGATCGATAGCGTCGGTACGGTCGGTAGAGGATGTAGTGTTGTACCATGAACAGAATGTCAAACAGAACTGAAAACATGCCAAGGCCAAACTTGGTCGGGTCCTGGAAGATGCTCTTCCAGTCGTCTGAAAACAGAGCATAACAAGTGCACGTGTACGCAGGCACAGACGTGTGCACACACACACACACACACACAAGGAAGAAGGAAGAAGGGCGTTATTACACAGCCAAGAAGTGCAAGCCAGCACAAATGTCAGCAACCAAAATAGTTCATTCAAGATTTCACAGGAGAGATAGAGAGAGAGAGAGAGAGAGAGAGAGAGAGAGAGAGAGAGAGAGAGAGAGAGAGAGAGAGAGAGAGAGAGAGAGAGAGACACACACACACACACACACACACACACACACACAGAAAGAGAGACAGACAACAATAGATATCATCTCACCATAGTTGTATCCCATGAGTAACATTTGCAGCATACTCAGTGATCCCCCGGTGAAGTCCAGCAACACATTGCCTATACTCCAACCCACAGTGCTCTTGCGACGATAGTTCATATACGCCTGAGAGAGAGAGAGGGGATACAGACAGAGTGAACATGACAGAGCAAATATTAATACGGATCTGTTTGTGAAAAGTGTTTCTAAATATGACGCCTGAGCCCGTGGGCTATTTTCACTTCAGTATACTGTAACATGTACATGTGTATGTACCTTCAATGGACGTAAAATCAGTACTTTCTAGCCAAAGAATTTTATATCCATGGTAGACTGACCAGAAAAGGGTACCCATGGTCATAAAAAAGTACTTTATATCCCTTTGAAAGAGAGAAGTATGTTATACCTAGTGTACTTTATATTGAAGTTTCACAGGAGGTATTACTGGCGCAATGGTGAATTTGCCATCGGCAACCATGCTCTGCACATTGAATATCAATGAGGTGGCAAAGAACCGTGTCTAATACCTGATAATAGAGAGGTTCCGCATAACGTAATTACGTTAGTAAAAAACGTAGTCGATCTACGGAAAGTCTTACGTAAACTGCATGCGGATCTGGGTTCCGCCACACGGAGTTTTCAAATCACGTAGCTGCACTTGGCAACTCCGAACGCGGCAGTGTACGACCAGATCGACCTGGGGAGAGAGTCATAAATTTGTACCCCAATCCACTTACGGACCAGCTACGTTATCAGAGCCCTATCTACGTACTCTACGTAGACAACTTTCCGTAAGTGGAGTGCAAACTCGCGAATTCACGGGTTTTCCCGCCCACTAACGTAAAGTTGCTCAACTTTACGTAGTGCGGAACCTCTCTATTGATGCCAGCTAACTTGGCATCAATGTAAAAGTAAGGGTGACAATGGAAAAAGTCGGAATACAGGGTTAAGCCCGCAGGGCTTATTCCAACAGATACGGTGAACCTAAAGCATGAACACATCACGTGAACGCAGTGAAAAGAGGGAGGGAGAGAGGGAGAGGCCCACGCACATGGAACCCCCCCCCCCCCCCACACACACACGTGTGCACCCACGCACACACACACACACACACACACACACCAGTACTTACTTGTGGTACATATTTAATGAGCGTTACACCCAGCTTGACGTAAGAGAACATATAGAGATAGTTGAGCCAGCTGTATTTGCCCGCTATGGTCACAAACAGTGTCACGAACACCATCAACCAGCTACCAGCTACCAACACTCGTGCAAAATACGACACACGCTGATTGCCTCTCTGAACACAGAAAGAAAGCACAGCAGGACACATGCCAACAGATGCATTTCACTGAGAAGCAGAGGCCGCCGGGTGAGTATTCCAGTCAGAGATTAGCATTCCGTTTCTGGATTAGCACCCCGGTTTAGGAACGAGTATTCAACGTGCACGCTCTAAGGGGCCATCCGTAATTATCGATCTTTTTCACGAAACGAAAAAGTTTAGTTATGACCCATCCCCACCCACCCCCCTGAAACGAAAAAATTAACTGACTTGAGACTTTGTGCAGAAAATGATCTTGATTGGCTGTTACAACACACACATATCCTTCGCATGCAAGCACTACTAACCCTTTACCGGCAAGTAATAGTTACTTTTGTACATGTGTATGAAATCCATAACATTTTAGAAGGATGCCAATAACTCACAGCGAGGACACATTTTGTATGATTGTGCAAGTCAGTTATGTTTTCTTGGAAGTCTGGTACTACCGGTACTTCTTGACCATGGAAACATTTATTTTCACCTACCACACACGTACACATACGCTGCTAAATAATTGGCACCTCTACGTCTAAACACGGGAATAGTACACATGCAAATCGTGACTAATCGTCAGAGTTCCGACATTGACATGATACTGCCAAAACAAGTCGACTTCTGAGCGGAAACAAACGCCATAGCTATCACAGACTTCAGTGGTCGTGCCTCGCTCGCAAATGAGAGCAGCATCGCCCCAGAATCGCTGTCGGAAGGCTCCGTAAGGTCGCACACACGCCGCGCTGCCGTCAATCAGGTACGTAGAAAGTCGATGGCCTAAATTTCCGTCTCTGGAAGACTGTCGACACGGGGATCACTCTCCATGGTTTCCCCACCATAAGCACGATCAGATTCTTCCAGGTACATTACGACGACATCGTCTTCAGCGGCTAGCGCTTCCCATATTTTGCGTGAGAATTTACTTGGCGTGCGCCCCGCTCCGTAACTTGAAATTCTCTTGCATCGGCGGCTGGAACGAAGTATTTATCTATCTCTCGTCGGTCCCAGAGCGAATGACTGCTACAATTATAATAATTATATAGGTCCTCATCGGAGAAGTCATCCGAGGACGAAAGGAACTCACGACTGCACTGAGTACAGAGTGGTATCAGTGCATCCATGAAGCACTTGCCTGGCCGCGCGACGTAGACCCTCTACTGTCGATCTACTTCGAAGTACACAATGCAATGAATGATTATGTGTGCATGCCTTCAATGCATGCAGTGCGCATTGATTTTTCCGCTTTCGATGTTTTTTTAAAACGAAACCGGTCACTACCCACCCACCCATAAACGAAACTTTTTCGTTTCGTGAAAAAGATCGATAATTACGGATGGCCCCTAAGAGCATGCTTCTTGCTTTCAGTTTCATATTGCAAGACCACGCACTGCATGTGAATAAGCAATGAACAGAGGTAACATAATCATAAAAAGACAGATAGACAGACAGACAGAGACACACACACAGGCACAAGCATGCACACACATGTACACAATGTGGTTGTGTGTCTGTTTGTATGTCATACACACAGCCATACACAGATGTACATAATTTATGCAAGACATAGACAGATGCACATGCGGATGCTCGTACCCATAAACAGACATATAGACAGACACACACACACACACGCGCGCACACACACACGCGTCACGTAACATGAAAACTCACATCATAGATGCAGGCCTGTAAGACGGTGAAAGTCGTGGCAGCAAACGCGTGCAGCGTGAAGGCCACATCGTTAGCCTGTACTGGTATGACTGAGTGCGGGTGTGCCTTGTGAAACTCACGCTGCAGTCAACACAAACAACACAAACAACAACAACAACAACAACAACAACAACGACGACAACAACAACGACGACGACAACAACAACAGCAGCAGCAGCAACAACAACAACAACAACAACAACAGCATCTCTTATTGGTCACAAGCCTCAGGCCATCGTGAGAATGAAGATTAGAAACAGCAGCAATACCATCACCGCGCCACGCAAGAGCAGGAGCATGAACAAACCAAGCAGCAGTAGCAGTAGCAGCAGCAGCAACAACAGCAGCACTGTGGGTGTATGTGGAGCCAGTGCAGTCTTACCTGCACTTCATGAATCCAGAACAAACCAACGTTGAACAGTCCATACATGAAGAAACCCATCAAGTTGTATGAGAGAAAGTCAAAGTTGAGACCAATGACACTGCAAACGAGAACAACAACAACGAAGACGACAACAACAGCAGCAGCAGCAAAACGACAACAACAACAGCAGCAACAACAAGACACACATGCACACACACAATGAAGCGGTCTCAAAATCATGTAATTTGAAGTAAAAGAGATACGATGGCACAGCTGGCCTTGCACTAAGAAACACGGTCATATGCACAAACAGATGGATGGACAGCACCAGTGCATTCGGCCACGTTTGTGCATGAGTTCAGCATAGCACCCCCCCCCCCCTCAAGGAGTCCAGGGCACACTTGTAGACACTTCCACAGCAACAAGCAGACACAGAAAATGAAAACAAAAGTCCCATTGAACAAGAGACGAGGTCACCGTCCTCAGTATGTTGAGCTCACTCAAACACTGCAAGAGGTCAACGAGCACAATTGACTTTGGGATAACTATTGTTTACTCTCATTTTTGAACATTCAAAACCCGAAAGTCACGCAGACAGACAGACAGACAGACAAACACCCATACACAAATATCCCCCCCCCCCCCCCCACACACACACACATCATACTTACCTCTTTCGTCTATAGTTAGTGAAGATTTGTGGATAGAAGGATACGGACCAGGCAGCAAAGTACACCCATCCAATGATCACGTTGACAGTGGCTATCGTAAACGAATGGATCACCTCCACTTCTACATGTTGACTCCTGCACAGCGATGATGAAGATGACGACGGGTAACGACAGAGACAGCAACAATAAAGACAATTACAGCAGCAGCAGCAGCAACAACAGCGACAGCGACAGCAGCAGCACCACCACCAGCAACAGCAGCACCAGCAGCAGCAGCAGCAGCAACAAGGACAAGAAAAGACAACCATTAGAATTGAAAGCAAGATGAGAAACAACAGCAGCACCACCACCAGCACCACGGTTACCACCAGTACCAAACAGGTGAGAAAGGGGTGACATATCAAGACTCAAGATCAGTGACTGCTGGCAAAGACCGTACAGTATCCTTATTCAGCCGTTCAGAAACCAGACGTGTTTTTTTCTTCAAAATCAGTTCATTGTTGACATGAGTACTAGCAAGAGTACATAACCAAGAGTGTGCAGCTCGACGATCCCCCAGCCCACGGCGGAATTTTTTTTATGACATCAGTCTTTGGCGGCTGTTTGGCTCGCTGATGCCATCATGCGTAGCCAGAGATCAAAGTTAGGACAAAGAATGTGTACATCACAGCTACGGTAGTCGAAGCAGAACAACGGACGATAGATCAATGTGTCTTGAACCTGACGAACTCTCACCGTATCTACAAAACAAGCGCGGGAAAGCATACCCACTTCATCATACTTCTGAAAAAGAATGACGCAATAAAAAAGATTCCGCCGTGGGTGAACCCATCGCAGCTCAAGATAGGAGTTGCACACTCTTGGTTATGTACTCTCGGTAGTAGTAGCAGCAGCAAACAAGACGCCTCGCGCTCTAATCTGTCTTCTGCTTCCTCATAGCAGACCACTGAACCAAAACAAGAAGTAAAAGACGTGTGCTCTTGTGACGGGAATGGTCTTAGCGACTGCTTCTCCCATTCCCGTTGGCATTCCATTCTCATTTCGTCGTAATTATTTACACTCCTTCCGCATGTATGCATGCTCTGTATGGTGATCCCCAATTATTATTATTCATGTATCATGAATAGCTAGTACGCTACGCACGATCCGCCTTTAGGAACACACGTCATTCGCCATCCAACTACACATCCTTATTCTACCTTTTACACCGTACTCCGAATACAGCAGGGAGTCGAATACGACTCCCTACATTTATTCTGAAAATATGAAGCTGGCCACGGCGAGGGTTTCCCCTCAGTTCTTGGTTAGTCCAGAAGGAGCGAGTTTGATTTGTAGTGTCGACTGGAGCTAGTGTGCTTCCTGTTACAGCTCTCTCGAGCTCCGTGGGTAGGATCGTCGTGGTACGCGAGCACCATTTGGAGTCATCGTTTTCCTTCTCGTCCTGTTCGGTTACCGTTTCGAGTCTCACCGCTTTCAGTTGTATGACGACAGTCCGTATTTTTATCCATTGCCGAGGCATTTTCTCCATGTATTCTTGCGCTTCGACACATTCATCTTCTTTCTCTTTGAAGAACTCGTCACTTGAACATCACATCTGGTCGCTCTGTCTGTGATGCGCGAGTAACGAATAAGAGACCTGTCATCCGAATTTGCTGCTGACGATCCCTTACTGACAGTTCCAGCGCTGGAATCTTCTTCCTCTGCGACAGTCCGTATTTTTATCCATTGCCGAGGCATTTTACCATTTGTCTCTATGTGTTCCTGAGCTTCAACACATTCATCTTCTTTCTCTTTGAAGTACTCGTCACTTGAACATCACATCTGGTCGCTCTGTCTGTGGTGTGCGAGTAACGAATAAGAAACCCGTCATCCGAATTTGCTGCTGACGATACCTTACTGACAGTTCCAGCGCTGGAATCTTCTTCCTCTGTGTACTTGCTTGGAAGTTTTATAGTTACGATGGCAAGGGCTTCTTGCCGTTACAAACGGAAAGCTGTTGAGGCTCGCCTGAAAACTTTCACGACGAATTTTGCTGGCGCGAAGTCGCAGAAGAGCAGGAAAGTGGCTGAAGACGAAGTAGCTCAGGACGTTGAAGTCCAGCACACTAGCAGTGGTAGCAGGAGTCAGCTTGAGCCATCTGTGGGGCGCGAAGAGGCTGGCCACTTTCCGGTAAGTGGCTGGCCGCTTGCAGCTCCCACAGTGACACGAATCCTGGTCCTGTGGAGCTCCCCAATGCCCGATGATTTACTAATTGGACGACGCATTGCGGGGCTGCGCTTGCTGCCAGAGCTCGTGTTTGTTACTATGTTAGGCATATTGTGGTCCATGAATTTAGAGCTACATATTATGCCCTATTATGTATGTATTCTCTGTTCACTTTTCACTACAGATCAGCTCCTGGCAGTCTCATCGACAGTAGAGTCCACTGCAGCCAGGCACGAGCACGATCGCCATAACAAGGCACGTGCTGCAGAGATCCGGCAGCATATACCGAAGTCCGCTCTGCCGGAAGCCATGTGCCTGAAAATTGCAAAGTCGGGCCTGTCGATGGCCCATCTGAAGCTGGCCCACTCTCACAGTGGCCTGCAGAGTCTGCTGGCAGAGCCAGAAGGTGCGGGGAGCACAAAGCCCAGGGCCACAAGGTGCAAGAAGGTCACTGCAAAGCTTCAGGAGTGGATGGATGCAGCGACCACCCTGCAGATTAGCGACGGTGACCAGGCAGCGGGTCCAGAGCAAGCAGCACCCGTCCAGCAACCGGCTAGGTCGGAGCAGACTTTGGCCCTGTATCGTCGGCGCAAGGCCGAAGGATATGATTGGCCAGATCCAGATTATCTTGCATGGCTGAAAGAGCCATTAGCTTGATAATTTATCATAAGAACAACACTATGATTCCAGTGGAAATCTCTGTGTGGTGTGCTTGCTTCAAAAGTGCCGTTTTGCTGCAAACTGGTATTTGCAGAATGGGGCGGAAATACCACATGTCCCTACCTATTTTGTTTGGGAGAGGCCTAAAGTGCCTGTTGACACCATCAAAACTATTCATGATTGGAAACTAGGGGGCTCAAGGAACACAGAGCATCAAAAAACGGGGGGTCCGTGGACAAAACAATTCTATGCATAAAAAGCAGGGTGTCCATGGACCTTTTTTCCCTCCTAGTCCTATAGGTGGGAGCCTCACAACGTGGAGTAAAGTACAGTTGTGCTCACTGAAATCCGACCCAATGTGCAAAGCTGATGCCCTGGACCAGTTCCGATTACATCATTGTATTTGCACATGTGTACGTCCAGATGCATTCGTACCACTTCCAGGGAGCCAAGGGGCATGCAAGTTAAGGGCGCCGGCTTTGCACTTTGGGTCGGATTTCAATGAGCGCTACTGTACGACAATGCCAGAAATCCATAAGCCCATTACACAATGACGTAATTTGTACCATGAACACCCCCACACAGCCAGTACCTGGGCAAAGTCGTCTGGGGTATTGAACAGTGCATTGCTGATCCCAGCGTACTCACATGCATTACTCATACCTTCCATATTTGGCAATGCACAATGGGCTTATTGATCCCAGAGCTGCAGAGAGTGCCCAATGTCAAAGATAGAGAGAGCTTACACCTCCACTCGCCTGCTACCCACCGTCTTCCCCCCAGAGCCTCTGCTCGCGCTTTCTTTCACAATCCGACGCTACCAGTTTTAGCGCCCACCTGCACATAGTATTAGATTTGTTTGTGTCTGTGGAGTGGCCTGGCCTACGTGTTTGTGAGAAGTATATGTCCGAAAATTGCCATTGTTTTGGCATTGTAGTACATAGCAGACTCAGCGGAGGACGTTGTTCAGGTTTGTTTGAACTCCGTTTCACGCTGCTAGGCAATCATCAGACAACTGTAAACGTACTGTTAGCTAGATCCCCAGCATTAGTTGTCTGATGGTTGCCTAGCAGCGTGACACTCGGATTTAGAATAAACCTGAACAACGTCCTCCGCTGAGTCTGCTATGTACTACAGTGCCAAAACAGTAACAACTTTCGCACATACTTCTCACGCACACACAGGTCATGTTTCAGCTCGGCACTACCTGTATACACCGCCGCCTCCAGCACAGAGACAGGTGAGATTTGTTGCGTACACCGCGCTTCAACATTGAGTTTGCCACTACATGTACAGTAAGACCTGGTGCAAGTGACCTCTCGTTCTAGTGACCGCCTGCCCTCAACGACCGTTTTTCCATGCACGGACAGTTCTAGAATCTACACAGACACTGTGAGACCTGGTTCTAAAGACCATCTGACTTTAACGACCGCTTTTCCTTGCACCGTGGGGTGGTCACTTAAACCAGGTTTTACTGTATTCACTGTGAAGCGACAAACTTTCGTGGCGCGCAAATTTAGCGTTTTCAAACTTTTCATAGATTTGCCTGGTTTACGATGAGAAACTGTTGCGAGTCTATCTCTTCAGTCGGATCTTGTACTGTCTACAATCAATGTACAGAGAGGGTTGCGACGGTTTATATTCGCGAATGGGTGGTCGCGAAAATAGCGAAATTTAATCTCTAGCGAAAGTTTCTCAATTTACAGTAAACAATGAATCGATCTTAGAGAGTAATGGTGCGAGAAGGAGAAGCCTCATCAGAATTTCCAGGGCGTGTGTAATGAAACAGCCCAAGACTAGCGCCTCATACGTACGTGAAGATATCAGAAGAGTTGCAAGTGGCGCTGCCATTCAGCAACGAAGTGCAGTTGAACAGGATGTCAAACTTGCCAGCACCGTATGTACTGACGTTGACGCGTAACGAGCCGTTACCCTCCATCACCAAGAACTGAACACATTGAACACACACACACACACGTGCACATACACCCACACACACAACCGTGCGCACACACGCACACGCACGCACACACACACACACGCACACACACACACACACACACACACACACACATAAACAAACATCCACATCAACAACAGTAAAACAGCTGCCGCCACCCATTTTTTCCATGTTCGCAAAAATGTCTTCCCCCACACAACAAGCAACACACGGGCTCTCCCCAAACGAGTGTGACTTTATGAACCCTCTGTTAGTGACTATCGACTGCATTTTTCGTTCACTCCCCCCCCCCCCCCTCCCAAGAGTGTGTAACTCCCGCATACCCTGCTGAATTTCGACTTGACGTCATTTTGATGATGCAATGCTCCTTGCACCGGTGATTTATGACGATTGTACGGGTGTCAAGGCATCACATGTGTTTCCCTGAACTAGCTTGTACAGGGTCGAATGGGACTTTGTCCACCACAGGTTCAGGACGAGTCTGACAATATGTGTACAGTGCGCGTTAAGTAATAGAAAGGTGTTAGAATGCCACGTAAAATCATGATACAAGTGCAATAAAACCACTAGAGGAAACGCAAAACGGTAACAAGATTACATAACAGTGTGCATTGCAGCATAAGGATGACGTAAACTTGAAACTCTGCAGAGACAGCACCCATACTGGGGTTGCACACTCTTGGGGGGGGGGGTATGTACTCTTGGTTGCGACCATGAATCTGTCCATGAGTCATGTGCGGCCCATAAGTGTTATTATACAGGCAGAAAATTCCGCTGGTCAATAATTTCGTCCCACTCCAAAGAAAGGGAGTTCGTCCAGTCGTAAATTGCGTCCATGGATCATAAGAGTGTATTGAAAAAGCTGGACAAAACGACATTAGTCCGGCATTTAATTTTTTTAATCCAAAAGCTCCTTGGACGAAAAAGGTGAAATTAAATTCCAGACGAATATTTCTGTCTAGATATACAGTAGTACTACATGTACAAGCTTTACTATGGGTTTAAAGAATTGAAAACAAGGTGACATGAAACTCAAGACTTACAACTTGAGGATATACGGCCAGGTTGCCCACTTGCGTTCCATTCTCAGTCTCCTTAAACCAATCACCATAGAGACTGACTTCCACGTCTTCAGGAATTTCCCTGCAAGAAGAACATAAGTGAGTGTAAGAGAGAGCGCGCGCGCGCGCGCGAGAGAGAGAGAGAGAGAGAGAGAGAGTGAGAGAGAGAGAGAGTGAGAGAGACCAGACAGATCATGAGAGTCAGTGTCAGGGATGGGTGTGTAGAACAAGCGTTGAGGACCAGTGGTCATACGCAACGGCGTCACCTCCACACCAGCTAGTCACGCATGAAGCTGTTTGGATCACATGTACACACACACGCCACAACCAGGGGCGTAGCTCACACATCTGTGATGTGGTGACTATGTACCAGAGCACATCTGTGGTGTGGTGACCATGTACCACCGGCAACCTCATAGCCGCCATTTTGACTATGCAGTACCTATGGCGACTATTTGCTGGTGTGCTGACCAGACTATGCTGACTACACACGAGCTAAAAAAAAAACTCACGGTTCGCGTGAGACTCGGCTGGAAGCCGGGTTTTCCGCATCCGTAGGAACGCCACCACCCTTCAAGGATCAAGACGCAGATGCAGCTCCTAAAGCGGTGGGAGGTGAGTAGATCAGCTCACCAGCAAGTGGTCAAAGACCGAAAATCCCATTCACTGCATCCGAGCTACGCGCCTAACAAATAATATTATTGTGAAAGAGCCAGGTTTCTAGACGTCATCAAATTCAGGATACATTGTACTACAGTGCGTTTCAAAAATATAGACGCGTGATTTCGAAAACCGTTAGGCCAGCACCTATGATTATCACATAAAATCTGTCATCACTTTGTGCACAAAAATTTCAGAAATTGGGTGTTTGTTATCTGATCGCTTAAAAATCGAAAAGCTGCAGGCAAATTTGAAATATTTCAAAAATACCATGCGTCTATATTTTTGAAATGGACTGTAGTATACAATCATTGTAGTTAGTCTTATATCAACAAGAGTACATAACCCCCGGGGTTTATGTACTCTTGATATTACACACTCACTGTCAAGTACTTATATTACACACTTACTGCCATGACACTTCAAAGCTTGTGTCCTGGCCGATCTTGACTTTGTCGGCACTAGATACGCCGAAGCCCGGCGATGCTAATTGCAGATGCACACGCACGCACATTCGCATGCAAACACACACACACACACACACACACACACACACATGCGCACACACAGAAAACGTGTGCATACGCACAAAACACATGCGCACATACAGGTGCATGTACACATGACACACACGCACACTCACACGGGCAAGCGCGCGCGCGCACACACACACACACACACACACGCCACGCACACACACACACGCGCGCGCCACACATACACACGCCACACGCCACAAACACACATTATACTGGTCAACTCGTGTAGCATAAAGGTTTACAGTGACACAAATGGTCGTCATCAAAATAATACTAAAGACAAGTGCATTCCAGAGTGACTTTTCCGTGCAACCCCAAAAGATCAAGGCGTCTGACATGCTCATCAAGGAATAGAGATGAGTAGATCAGACACACTGCTCTTCTGTACCCCAGTTACTCTTGTTTTAATGTCTTTCCAGCGTTCTATTAGCATCTCTGGTTCTAATCTATTGATTTTCTTCCTCTCCTTTGATTTAAATTCTCAGATTTTATTTGAGTCTTATTCCTTCTATTTTTCATTATTCTACTGGTTTGGAGAGACTCCCATGATAGGTATCCATTTACCTCTGGACAATCCGTAAATAAACAATACAATACAATACAATGCAGTGGTCAAACACTGGGCTGCTTGTGCACACGCAATGGTAGACAGGAATGGTGGACAGGAATGGTGGACAGGAATGGTGGACAGGAATGGTGGACAGGAATGGTGAAGGTCGGACTAGACTGCAGTGTATTACATGTATACGGGACTACGGGTCCGGAGTCCACATACAGCAGCAGCAGCAGCAGTGGCAGAGGATAATCCTAACCTTGCGCGTGGCTTGCTCCCAGCGCCAGGAGGCCAGCCAAAACCACCAATGATGGCAGCATTCTGGCAGCGGAGTAATTCCAACACTCGAGTTCAGACACCTGAATCCCAGGTGCGGTATAGATGCGGCGTGTGCCTAGTTCGGCTATCCTCCGTACGATGCTCAGCAGATCAGATCCTTCAAGAACTAACAGCAGATTGGTCTATACCATGCTTGCAACAAAACCAACCAAACAGATACAACGACAGGATTTCGATTCGAAGAACATAATCTGACATTCAACAGTCTCAAAAGTGAAAACAAATCAAAAAAAGCAACCCCCGCGCGACGTCTGAATGATTTTTTGCGCTGGTAGATTCTATGCAGTCTCGTGACTTCCACGAACACGTCACGAGGTGACTAAAAAAATACAAGGCATTTTCTGTTTTCCTCAAATCGAGCGCAAGCGAGAAACTACTACAGACTGTACTGTACTCAGTATAATACTGATTACTGACAGTACTGTAATAATTGGAAAGGCTTTCTGTCTAAAGCCTTTCCATACTGGTGCTCGATGTTTTCAGTTTGGGGACACCAAAATTAGTGTACCGCTAAAGACACGTGGTCGACACGTTGTGACACGTTGTTGACACTTTGTTGACACGTGACCCAATTACCGGCCTACCAAGTGCCTTTGGTGACCGCTAACAGCAACTGTGGAACAGTGCAGTGCCCTTTTTTGGAGCAACGTACGAGTAGTGCCCATGGATTATGACCCCGCGACCCCAATCTACGTGGCGGTCCGCAATTCGCTACTTCATACTGACTGGCGTCCGACATCGTCCCGAATTTGGCCACAATCTGCTCTCGGGACCCCTATAGGGCTCCCTGACCTGCTCCATCTCCGCCATCGTCAATGTACTGCGCATCCACCCAGGCCAGGACTGCACTTACTTACGGGAAGGAGTATTTGCAAGATGGAACCTGGGAACTGGAAGACGACGAAGAGGAAGCGTGGGAATCCGGCGGCAATGGCTGGGATGTAAGTCCAACATTGCTGGTGCCAGAGTTGCCACTGCTTGCTTATAAGGGAATCATGTGTGTTGCCTTTTTGCCTTTTCCGACGTCCTCCTCCGACTGTACTCCCGATCCCAGGACTGAACTTACGGGAAGGAGTGCTTCCAAGATGGGAGACGAAGAAGAAGAAGCCGCTGAATCCGGCGGCAATGGCTGGGATGTAAGTCCAACATTGCTGGTGCTAGAGTTGCCACTGCTTGTTTATAAGGGATTCATGTGTGTTGCCCTTTTTTGCCTTCTCCCATGTTCTCCTCCGACTGTACTGGTGAACGCTGTCACATATGTTGCCCTTTCCAGACAGTAGAAGGGAGGGGGGGGGGGGGGGCAGCACATCCTGGCATCCAGGAATGCTAGGCCCTAGGAACTAGGCAATCTGACCTTTCCTCTTACTCCAATAATGGTATGGATGGGGAGTTCTTGAACATCCTCAGTCTTGTTAGAGTGAACTGTGCAACTCGGCAATCGGTGATAGCAGAGGACCAATGCCGATGGCGATGCTCCTTCCTTTTTCTCTGTCACAGGCTGCGTTCTCGAGAGGAAGTGTTATTTCTGCATTCCAAGAAGGACGGCACAATGGTGAGTGGAACTTCGTGGGTGTGCAGCCTTGCTAGTTGAATTGTAAATCAACCATTCTTCCTGTCTCTGACTTCTTCAATGTCCTCCTCAGTGTCGGACTGTCCGCGTCGCATTGAACTGGTCCGATGAGGCTGCTATTGCACACACAGTGAGGGAACTCCCATACGGGAACTCGGAAGTACTGCTACAGTACAGGTAAGGTGGCCATTGCTTATGTGCGTGCGCCGTTGTTGTCAACTTCTAAGCCAGCTGTACTCCAACCTTCATGGAGTTTGAAAGTAGTCAGCTGGCGAACTACAATTGAAGTTTAGACGTTATATGCCGCGGCTTGGTCAGCTTTTTCAGTTTCACAATGCATTGCACTCAGCACTGCTTCTCGGAATATCTTGTCAGGATAGCTGTGGAACGCATCCTCCCCAGTGGGGGAACGGCAAATGTGCTGTTCATTTTTTAGGCTTGCTTTTATGGTACGTACAAATCCCCATTGAAAAGACACAGTGGAGACCAGAAACTGCAAATAGATGTTGGGAACCGCGAAGACCACCCTTCCTTGTCAAGTTCCCTGAAGGTGTGGAGGGGGGGGGGGGGAGCGGAGGAGGGACATTCCTGCACTTCTTAAAGCAGGATTCACAGGAGCATTTTCAGAAATTGCTTGTACATTTGCACCAGTTGTAAAACGCATTCTCATTGAGCTTTGACTTGAGGCACGTCAGCAAGGCGCTGTTGCATCGCTGACGTCTTGTCCTGATTCTGTGAATGGTATTTTGTGCGAGTTTGCATCGCACGCAGAATCGCAGGTCGTGTCGCATTGCGCAGCACACTGCCAAATTGCTTCTGTGAATCCCACGTGAATGGGAATTCCAATGGGAATGTAATCCATTGCCAACAGGTGTATTCCCGAGCTGCTCATCATACTGCAAAATTGCTCCTGTGCATGCAAATGGATTTCATTGCTCTTCTGTAGTTTGGGAAATTCTCGATTATGATAATTCTGCGTGTGTGTGAACACCAGCCCTGAACATACATGTAGGTGACCCATTTGTGGTGTCTCATAGCCTACCTCACGACCTTATGCTTTCTTTCTGTATCACTTGTATCTTGCAGGTATATCACCCCGTGACGACCACATCGAAGTCTGAAATTGAAGTGTGAAGATGCTTCAGCAACCCCTTCATATTTTTCCATTGCTTTTATTGTGCTTCTACTGTGCATGTGTGTAACCTGTGGGGTATGCATGTGATGACAATGTATGCCGGTGACACGGTCAGATTTTGTCCATGCGTGTAACGTACACCTGCATGCTATCGTTGAAAAGGATCTGCCACTTACGATCTTCGGACGAGTATCAGGTCAGCTTGGTTTTGTGTGGGCTGTACCAGACGCTGTTCACTTCTCTATCTGTTGGATATGTGACTTTCTGCAAGTTTCTGGTGTATGGTGGCCACTTCTTTGCTTGTCTTTGTATGACATTACAATAATTCTGTATTCACTGCTTCCATGGTGTGGTCTGCAAACTGCAATCCTTAGGCAAATATCATCACGGTTTGCAATATTGTGCTTTGGCCGCTAGCTTACCTACACATTGTACATGTAGTTGAATTATTTTTGTTTCACAACTGACTTCCTGAAGTATGGTGGCCACTGCTTTGCATGGCATTATACAATGTTCATCAAGAATTTCCTGTTTGGGTCGTGTGTGTGTATGTATGTGTGTGCGTGCCCATGTGTGTGTGTGCCATGTGCATGTGCGTGTTTGTCACAAGGTGTCTGTGTGCGGGGTAGCCAGGTGGGGAGGGCTGGAATGTATCAGTGTGCTACTGTAGTTGCATGGCTACATACAGTGCATCGCGCGCGTGCTCACCATGTTTATCTTCGGAGCTGGGCTAGGGTGGGGGAGGGAACAGAAAAAGAACTGAAATTACCCATATAAAAACCGCTCTGTGAGCGGTTCTGAAAAACCTCTACTGGTGCAGCCCCGTCGTAAAAGTAAGAAATTAGAACTGGCGCATTGTCCTCCCAAATGTGAACTGATCCACCTAAATCGCGATTGACGGGACCCGAACGCACCAGTAGCACGAGGTTCCTACCTGTGGATGCAGCTGGGGACGCTGGTCCATAGCCAAAGCCAAAGCGGCAAAGGTGGGCTTCGGTGTAGATCTAAGTGTTGTATGGTAACTTGATCAGCGCCGACGCCGGCTGTGATCCTGTGCCCTCCCGACCTCGTGCTACTGGTGCGTTCGGGTCCCGTCAATCGCGATTTAGGTGGATCAGTTCACATTTGGGAGGACAATGCGCCAGTTCTAATTTCTTACTTTTACGACGGGGCTGCACCAGTAGAGGTTTTTCAGAACCGCTCACAGAGCGGTTTTTATATGGGTAATAAATATTATTATCGTTGGTTGTGCATGTTGATCCATTGTTATGGCCAGGGAGTACCGTAAAAGTCCGTAAATAAGTACGTATTTACTTTTGAATTTAGTGACCACACCCGTACTAACTTTCGGGCGGGTACGCGGGTACTGACTTTCGGGCACGAACTAACTTTCGGACCTGACTTGTGTGTAGTGGAGAAGTCATTTTCATGTCGATGTACATGCTACGTGCTGCATGTGCGCATCGTAACGGTACTTATTTCGGGCAGTATGTTTATCGGGCTTGACTTGACTTCACCAGACAGAGCCAAAAGAATTATAGCAATAAAAACTGCTTTATGGCAGTTTTCTAAAAAAAGTTATTGTGTTCTAGTCCATGGCCCCCGTCTAAAAAGTAAGAAATTAACGAAATGTGATAGCCGAAAATTAAAATTTCACACAAAACCTCACAATAATCACAACACTTGAAATGCTGCTTTCAACACTAAACTTGTACTGCACCAACAATTGGCAACATGCAGTCATGCATGCATAGGAAAGAGGATCACGAGGGGAAAAGGTCTTCTACATGTAGGTTTTCATTCTGTGTGTGATTATTGTGAGGTTTTGTGTGAAATTTTAATTTTCGGCTATCACATTTCGTTAATTTCTTACTTTTTAGACGGGGGCCATGGACTAGAACACAATAACTTTTTTTAGAAAACTGCCATAAAGCAGTTTTTATTGCTATAATTTCTTTTGTTTTTTCTGTCAGTGTCACCAATCAATGGAATGCCCTATATCTATTCAAAATTTAATAATAATATCAATATGTAAATGATGGCCTTCACATCATATCAATACCGTATTATACGCAGTGATGTGCAAGCCTTTTCTAAGATAATTCTTGTAGAAAATGGCACAAGCATGTTCTGCTGCGAGGAAACATGTGAATAGTGGTGGACCGTGGTTATACTTTTTTTTATACGGAGGTCATTCTGTGCATGACTGCATGTTGCTGTAGCAGAATTTCATATATTTAAGATTTCCCCACCCTCGATCAGATTAATTTGAGAAATGTAACCAGGTGCGTGTCGCAGATGTTTTTGTTGATTCTGTGTGTATAATGGTTTATCGTGATAAGGTCATCCTGCATCATATTGCACTGAAATCGTAATCCTGTTGATGTCGATACAACTTTTGGAAGTAGTTCAATGACTTCAAACTGTTAGTCCACGATTTTCTAAAACAACACAGCAAAGGAGGAACAATAAACATGTATTAAAATGTAAACAAATACATTGTTGAGTC